GCCCCCGAAGTTGTACTGGTTTTTCGAAAACCTCTGCACACCACTTTCTTTATCATAATCCCTTTTCCTCTAAATAAGCCGTAGATCCTTGATCTAGGCTACTAGTCCTTGCTTTTCTTGCTCTATTCTTGTTTTCCCCGACTTTGCTTAGGCAGTAGGCAAAGTTATCGCTAACTCTACCTAACACTAACTCTAACTTAGTTTGCAGTAAGGTAGGCATATCCACTTTTGTGAATCCTTCATCATCCTTACTCTTCTTTCATAGTCCCCGTTCTGCACCCGCTTTTCACGGCCCGTACTTTTATTTTTATCGCTACGATTGGGTAGCCATTTCCGAGCAATATCCAAGTAAATTTGTCAAGCTCCTCATTCCAGAATTCTATATCTATTAGGCGTAGGCTTTGGATGATCATGCTCCTAATTACTCCACAATTTAGCCTGTGATTGTAATGGGACCGGAAATTGAATATTATCCCAGCATAGGACTTCTTTTTGAGCGTCTCATTAGAGCGAATCAACTCAATGTCCAGGAACAGTAACCAATCACCTTCATCTACTTCAATCGTGAAATGAATTTTTCCATCAATCTGATGTACAAACTTCAAAAACTCTTCCAATGTTCCTCTTCCATGTGACAAAAGTGCGATGCAATCATCCAGGTACCACATGAGCACTACGGGTTGTAGCGGTTTCATCTTGAACTTCTTCTAAAGTTTGTTTATGTATACGTTTGCCAAGTGGTGAGAGCGGCGATCCTATGGGAAATCCAAATATTTGAACATAGATATTCCCTTTGAATGTAAAATAGGTTGTCCTTATTGTCAAGTTGATTAAAATTGTTAAGGACTCCCTACCGATCTGTTATGATTCTATGATATACTCCTCTCGGTCCAGTACTTCCAGCATGGCCGTTAGGGCATTTTCTACAGAGATACTTGTATACATCGATTTCACATCGAAACTTACCAATAAGTCCGTTTCTTCCTATACCATGTTTTTGATTTTTTTGAGAAAATTCATATGAATGTTTTACCGTGTTTTATATTCTCTTATTTAATTTCTTGCGCTTCAAACTTATAAACTTTGCTAATTTGTGTGTTGCTCCATAAACGTTGGTAACTATCAGCATTAGTGGCTCGCCTTATTTGTGAATCTTCGGTAATCCGTAGGCTATTGGTGGTCGTGCATCATTTCTTATTATTGAATTCCTTGTCCATGTATCAATTTCCCATTTCTATGCACATCTTTCATCATGGCACTTCCATTGATATTCATAGATGGGTCCTTATTTAGTATTTAATATGTGGTCCTGTCTCGTAGAATATGTTCCATCTTCTCGGTATATTTTTTTTGTCCATTATCACTGTAGCTCCTACTTTGTCCGCTGAATGACTAATTGTTGATTCGTTTCCAGGGTTTTGCATATCACGGCAAATCTGTTCCTGTGTGTAGGCTCCTGATATGTCAAGATCTTTGTAATTAGTTACATCTCTATTTCCTATTTTGTCTTCTCAGATAATTTGTCAGCGATACTTATAACCTCCACGAGGATGTATCCGAGACGTCTTCTTTGATGTTTAATTGAATCCTTTTTCCGGGAAAGCGGTTGCTGCCAGATTGAGAGGAATTGCTGATAATTTTCTAGTGTCTTTCGATGAGCGTGCTGATCAGTAGGCGTTGCTCTAATAGGAGGCTAAAAAATGAAATTGTTTAGAGAGAAGTACTATGCTGGGTTTTGCTGAATTTCCTATCCCATCACAATTACGGGCTAAAGATTGGAATAATTAGGAACTTGATCATCCGAAGCCTACACATAACGCATATAGAATTCTGGAACAAGGAGCTGGACAAATTGACGAGGATAATGCCCGGAAATGGCTACCCAATCGAAGTGATAAAAATAAACGTACGGGCCGTGAAAAGCCGATGGCAGAACGTGACTATAAAGAACAGCAAGGACGATGGACTCAACGAAGTGGATATTTTCACCATCCTGCGTACAAACTCAGAAAGTACGGCCAATATTGAGTAAATGGAATAATCAGATGTCCATGAAATATAAATTAACACTTTTCGCAGGTCTACCGACGCAACATGAAAGGGTAGACAAATTGGATTGTTCAGGAGTTTACCGTATATCATGCGGCACCTTCAAACAGAAATATATTGGCGAAACAAGGAGAAAAATAAGCAGACAAATCAAGGAATATCAAAGGATCTGGAGAAAAATGGATACCGAAAGATCAGAACTAGAGGAACACATTGCACATACTGATACAAAATAAATTGGAAGGCAGCAGAAAGAAGAGCTGAATACGGTGACAACACAAGGAGGCCTAAGGGAGGCCATTGACATACTTGGGGATAAAAATATAATTTTGAGCTCACTTCCATTATGAGTGAAAGTGTTGGGTGAAGAGATTCGAAGGTCATTTCCACCAGAAGACGACGGCGGATCCTCTTGACCAGCTGTCGATTGGCTTTGCTGTAAGATTCATGCTGACGCTTAGCTTAGCATCTTTTCACCGGAATCGAAGGAGAATTCCACGGAAACAGCGTCAGCATAAATCTTCCAGTAAAGCCAATCGACAGCTGGTCAAGAGGAATCCGCCGTCGTCTTCTGGTTGAACCGACCTTCGAACCTCTTCACCCAACACTCACTAAAAATGGAAGTAAGCTCAACAATTATGAAACAAGAGATTCCTGTAAACCCAACCTTTCATGACATAAATCTAATGAACAGGAGATTGGAAGAAGGTAGAGTTAGCGATAACTTTGCCTACTGCCTAAGCAAACTCAGGGAAAACAAGAATAGAGCAAGACCAGCAAAAAGGAGACGCTTGGATCAAGGAACTACCGCTAGCCATGGTAAAAAGGATCGCGATGAAGAAAGTGGGGGGCAGGGACTTTCGGCAATAAAGCGAAGGCGTCAATTTGTAACGTCCGTTTCGCTTAAGCCAACACAACTTTGGTGGTCTGGCAGTCAGGGAGCTGGGCAGACGGATAAGCAAGCCGTCACGGAAATCCGGT